ATGCGCTACGATGCCCGGCTGATTTTTTTGATTTATTGTAGAGATGAGGTCTCGCTGCCCGCGGGCTCAGGCAATCCCCTCACCTCAGCCTCCCAAAGGCGCGGGATTACAGGCTGAGCCACCGAGCCCGGCTGTTTTATAGAAATGAGAGGTTTTGTAGCTAAGAAACTCCCCCTCTTAATTTCTTACATCTTATCACACTAGCTTATCTTTCTAAGAACCTGAGGTGGTGATCAGATTCATCAAGAGGCCTTGTAGGCTATCCGATCACCAATAGAAACAGCCTAGAGCCTCTGAACCAATTCCCTCAGGAGCATTATCTTACTTAGTCTCAGCAACACGCTTGTAACCAGGAAAATGTTTCCTCTTCTCTGGAGAACCGAGATCACCCATTAGTGATAACCTCCAACTGTGAGATGGGTTTGAGTTCAGGAGGTATAATTTTTCCATATTACAATATCCTTTTGCTTAAAACACACAACAACAACAAAACCCTTCTTGTTGGTAATTATAATTTAGCAAGTATTAGTTGAGCATTTACAACATGCCAGATTGTTCTAGTGCTCTTACACACCTGGCCTCACCTTCTCTGTTCTAATAGCTATCTGTCCTCCTCTTATTCCTGTTTTACACACTGAGGAAACCCAATCAGAGCTTGGCAACTTTTCTAACTTCCTGAAGCACGAGTGGAGAGACGGTGATTTGGATTTTCCTGACTCCTAGTACTTCTGTCCAGTTCTTACCACCGTCCTGACCCCGCAAAGCAGTCCTGGCAGGCTCTCAGCAAGCAGTTATGCCAGTTGTTTACTGCAGAAGGGCAGATGGGGACAGATTCCATGTGAGCCCGTCCTCCTCCTGCCCTACCATGAGCCCCGGAAGAGGGGGACCTTTTTCTGATTGCTATAAAGGCACCAGAGGGGCTGGTCTAAACACAGGTGTCTGCTACAGCAAGGCAGGAGTGAGGGTGACATCAGCTCCTAATCAGGGAGTGAGAGCCTCGTGGTTACAGAATGAGCCGTCATGGCAGGCGACCTCTCACTAGCGTTCCTGACCAACGTGTTCAGTCCTTCTGCTTGTAAACAAGGCTAGGCAATCTGACAGGATTTGCCCCCGAGGGCTAAAAGAGGCAGGTGAAGCCTGCGCCAGGATGCACTTTGCTCTCTTCTCTTCGTCCTGTTTGTCCCTCTCCCCCCTGATGCTGTCAGCCTGGGATTGGGGTGTGGAGTGACATGGGAACACCCGGAGGCATTGCTTGGCCTCTGGACAGACACACAGAGGTCGTCGTCGCAGCCTCAGGGGGGTTGACCGGGCACAGCCACGGCGCCCACGGCACGTCTTGCTTAGCAGCTGGTGGAAGCTTCCCGGTGAAAAGCCTCCCTCGTGGCGCGGCACATTCCCGCAACTATAGCCTTGGCTATGGAACATCAATCTTAGGGTACAGAACAGTGGCATCCAGCCTCTGCTTTGTACCTACCTCTTCCGGAAAGCGCTCCATGGAAAGTTGGAAACTGTCACGCTCCTAAAATACCGATACAGCCCACCTGCTCGCTATATTATTATTATTATTATTTTAGAGACAGGGTCTTGCTTGCTCTGTCACCCAGGCTGGAGTGCAGTGGCAGAATCACAGCTCACCATAGCCTCTAGCTCCTGGGCTTAAGCGATCCTCCCGCCTCAGCCTCTCAAGTAGCTGGGACTACAGGCGCACGCCACAATGCCTGGCTAAGTTTTTGGTTTTTAATTTTTTGTAGAGAGGGGTCTCACCGTGTTGCCCGGCTGGTCTCAAACTCCCGGGCTCAAGGGATCCTCCTGCCTCAGCCTCCCAAAACCCTGGATTACGGGTGCGAACCACTGCACCCACTTTCTTCACAGACGATTTCTCTTCAACCCGGCATTCCCGTGCACTAAGCCGTCGGAGTCCTCACCACGTTTATGTTTACACTACAAGAGCCCTAGCCAGATAGCTGCTTCACTGTGAGCTCAGGTTGGAATCGTTCTCAGGGATATTCGCAAGGCCTTGTCATAAGTTAAAAAGTAGCCGCTGGCTCCAGACGATTATTGCCCTGTTCTCACTCTCCCAGGGGGACATCTTATAGGGATTATTGCTCACTTCGGGGAGTGTCCTTTGCGCCACTAGAAGAAACATCTGAATGTACGACTTAGGAGAAACGTTCTGACCTTTTAAAGATGACTGTTCTCTTGCCTTTCCCCGGGAAAAGGAAGTTGAAATCCAGTCTTCCCCGATGGTTTCTAGCAAGTGAACGGTGTTCTGCAGATGGGTCCTTGGCCAGCACTAGAGGAATCAATGGCACCTGTTTTTTCCCAGACCTGTATTTGTCCTGCCACTGTAGTCTTCCACTTCTTTCTTCCTTCAGATTAAAAGTGCCTCTTCCTACCCGACTCATTCCTTGACGAAGCTCATTTTATGGGTTCTAATGCTCTCATCTCAGAAATGCTGGCATTATGTGGCCATTAGGGAAATTAAGTTGATGTAGATACCGTATGGCGGCAGCACCCTTTTTCTGGGTGAGCCCCGTTTGTTCTCCTTGCTATGGCTCTGTTTGCTCAAAGTATTGTTGTGGATGATTCTGGCTCCCTCCTCTTATCTTCCTTTTGGCCACCCCAATGATCGGGGAGAGGAACAGACTTCAAATCTATGAACTGTGCTGTCAGAAACAATGTGCTTGGAGAACATCTCAGGGGGTGCATAAAGTGGGATTTGAAGATCATCGACGGACTTACCTCTCTCGTCGTGTGGTCACCTGATGCCACCCTGGACTTAGGTGGGGTCATTTCAGACAACCGTTGAGTCTTTGTTAAGTATGTATTTATCCGGTGTGACTCCAGGTTCTGAAAACAAGATCTTAACTTTCAAAGGACACTCCAGAGTCCAGATCTCAAGTCTGCACAGCCAATACAGTGGCTGGAAAACAAAACTGAGGTTTGATGCTGTGCTTCTTCAAGGCATCATGAGCATCTCAGCAGTTAATGCTGGACCTGGAGAGCTGCGGCCAGGAATGATTTGACCTTCTGAATGCACCAGAGAGCCCAACTGACCTTCAGGGATGCCAAGTGTCTTTGGGAGGAGAAAGCGTTTTATCTTTAACATGGAAATGTTCCTTACACAACTCAAATTATTATTATTTTTTTTGAGTTGGAGTCTTACTCGGTCGCCCAGACTGGAGTGCAGTGGCCGCTTCCGGCCACCACAGCCTCGACCTGCTGGGCTCCAGCAATCCTTCAGCCTCAGCCTTCCAAGTATCAAATATTTTTTTAAAGAGTGGACAACACATTAGCTGAATTAAAGTCACCTCTCAATCATGTCCACCAGGACTGTTACTAGGGCAAAATCCACCCACTTCCAGGATATGCCCGAGTCATCGTGGTTGGGATGTGCCCAAGACTGTAACAGTTGTTTTTTTTGATACAGTGGAATGTTTTTATAAAGGTGGCTTGGGAAGCAGGGGTGACAATCTTGCTTTGCAATCAAGGAAGTATATCACACTTGGTCTGGAAGAATTCACACAAAGACCTATTACAAACTGTATTAAAATGGTGGCCTTCTGTTTTAATTAAGCAACACAGAAGGTAAAGATGCTCTGAAAGACTAAAGTGTTATTTAAGAGGTAGTCTGGAATTATGTATTGTTTTAGAGCTCTTTTCCATTAGTCTCGAGTTGGTGATTATGAGAGGGGACCCCAAAAAAACTCAGAATTATCTCTTGGAGGGCGGGCCCCTGGTAGTACAGGATTCCCCTGCTAGGTAAATGTTCTAGAAACCCATTGGCATCAGTGTACCAGCTAGCGTTGTGGTGAGAGGTTGCATTTTTTGGGGGGAGTCTTTCAAGTCATTTGCCCATTTCATGGCGGGTGACTTATGAGCGCACCTGCCCACAGAGCTGTTTCTGACCCCAAAATGGCATGACCCCCGTGCCCCGCCCTCCCTATTAACCCAATCTCACCCAGGGACGTTTTGTTGTTTACCCAGATGAAAAAAGTCCTCAAAGGGAAACGTTTTGCAGATGTGGAAGAGGTGAAACAAAAAATGGTAGACGCACTAAAAGGCATCAATATGGACGGGTTCAAAAACTGTTTTGAGCAGTGGGAAAAGCGTCTCAGTATTCTCTGCATCAAACAGAGAATACTGTGAAGGTGACTAAAGTGCAAACATGCAAGAATAAATACACAATGTTTTAAATAAATATATTCCAGTTTTGGGGGGAACCCCACTCATCTTTGAGTTCTCCTTTGGGAAGAAAACACCTCCCCATGGTGAGAATCAGATTGTAATTGCGGATTTGTGTGTGGATGTGACGGCTTACATGGGAGTCAGCTTGCTTCCACTGAGATATACTGCATGGCAGCATCTACTTGTAGTATTTGTCTCCTGTTCCACGACAGTCAGAGCGTGGTGTGTGACGGTGTGGAGTCGTGTTTCTTTTCTGATGAATTTACACTCTTAAGGGACAGAGAAATGTTTTTGGTAACAAGAAATTATTTATTAGTACATCATTACCCTTGTTGGTACACTTCCCCCAAAGCATCCTGTCCTTAGTCACAAGAGAACTTTCCTATTAAAGGTAACATGTGGACCCATATCCACTGTCACACTTTTAAACAGATTCCTGGAAAATAGCTTATAGCTGGAAACAACAGACCAGTGTCATACTGTTTCTAAACTAGGCTTTCCTTGTTTATTTTGGCCTTACCTAAGAGACTTGGTTTTGACCATGCCCCTAGGAAAGGGAGCCGTCAGGGTTGAATTGTTAAAAGTCTCACTGCTCTTTCATTTGTATGCACCTGTTCTCCCCAGAGGCACAGTGGGAGGAGTATGACTAGGAATGATAAGTATAAGGCTATTAGCAGTAGCTTCTGGTACCATCAACTTAAAACTTTTAGGAAGACTTTAAAGCAAAAAAAATGCGTTTAGTTACCTGATTTTGGAAACAGTGGTTGACATGGGCCCATACCTCACTTTCATGGCTTTTAATTGCCTGTGGCTCTTGAGTCAAACAGAAGGAGGTCATGCTGGAAAAATCCAACACCTGTGTCTTGAGGCTGGAATTTCCCACTGTTTGAGTGCAGTACTTTAGTTCAGAACCTCTGTGCCATTTGGTTTTTAAACAGGAAGTTTGCGACTTCCTTTGTGTTAAGATGTTCCCTATTTTGAGTGGGACTTTTCCTTTACTGCATTTCTTCTCCAACCCTTCCTTCTTCTCCCCACACAGGATACTGCCTGCTGTAAGACCATCCCCAAGGTTGTACTTTAATAAACAGTAATTCTTTTTTTTTTTACAAAAAACATGAAGTGCGTTTTTTTTCCTTCTGCCTTAAAACCTGCTTTTAAATTTAATTTTCAAGTGGAAACCAGTACAGCTGAAATAAGAGGCACCATGTGTAGGTTTCAGAGGTGATACTAAACCCATTCAGGCATGTGCCCGCCAACGTTTTCATTCAAGTATATTAATGTAGGAATTTCCAGATGGGCCACTGGCTTAAAACATCGTCTTTAAAATAGAGAGAAATAATCGCTGTTATAATAATCCAGTGCCGGCTTCCTCTAAGAGCTTTGTTGACACGGCCAGGGCCCCGTTTCCACTGGAGGCAGCCCCACTGCTGTCATCACATCCGGCTTTAGCCAGTCAAGCTTCTGCTGTCATCCACTCATCTAGGAGATGTCCTAGCGCGAGAAGGGAGGAACAGCCAGAATCAGTCAGGGTAATGCCAGGCCAGGCCCGGAGCTGAGTGCCACAGGTGGCGGGTGCAAAGCTGGTGTTTGTGCAAACACCACGCGTCGGTCCCTGCGTCCCACTTGTTGCTACATGGGGGTAACTGCAAAAACAGGCTGTCAGGTGGGGAGGCTGGACTATTCACGTCGCTGGGAGCAAAGGTGGCCAGAGGCCCTCTGCAGGTCACAGCGGGCAGAGCCGGTCTCAGCCTGGCAGTGTCTGGCAAGGTGTCAGTGGACCATCCTGGACGTCCGGCCCCCACACCCAGCAGCACCCCCTGGAGGTGGGTGTAGGTAACAGCTGTCCGGGAACCATCTCAGGCTCCTTCCAGCCGCTCAGTGGAGATTCACACCTGACTCTCCTGCTTTTATTTTGTTTTTTTTATTTTATATTTTTTTGAGTTGAAGTCTCACTCTGTTGCCTAGGCTGGAGTGCAATGGCACGCTCCCGGCCACCGCAGCCTCGACCTGCTGGGCTCAGGCGATCCTTCTGCCTCAGCCTTCCAAGTAGCTACAACTGCAGGCACATGCTACCACGCTCGGCTGGTCTTTTGATTTATTTTATTTTTTATTTTTTGAGTTGGAGTCTCACTCTGTTGCCCAGACTGGAGTGCAGTGGCTGCTCCTGGTCACCGCAGCCTCGACCTGCTGGGCTCCGGCGATCCTTCCGCCTCAGCCTTCCGAGTAGCTGGAATTACAGGCGTGCGCTACCACGACCGGCTAATTTTTTGATTTATTGTAGAGATGAGGTCTCGCCTGCCCAGGTGGGTCTCAAACCCGTGGGCTCAGGCAAGCCACTCACCTTAGCCTCCCAAAGGTGCGGAATTACAGGCTGAGCCACCGAGCCCGGCTTCTTTTGATTTATTGAAGAGACAAGGTCTCACAAAGTTGCTCAGTCTGGTCTCAAACCAGTGGGTTCAGGCAATCCTCTCGCCTCAGCCTCCCAAAGTGCTGGGACTATAGGCGTGAGCCACCTGGCCTGGCTTCGCCTCAGCCTTCTAAGTAACTGGAACCACAGGCATGTGCCACCACACCCAGCTGATTTTTATGATTTATCGTAGAGACGAGGTCTCACCAAGTTGCCCAGGCTGCTCTCAAACCCCTGGGTTCAGCAGTCTTCTCGCCTCTGCCTCCCAAAGTGCTGGGATGACAGGTGTGAGCCACTGCGTCCGGCCGTTACTTTATTGTATTTTCTTGAGTCAGGGTTTCACTCTTGTCGCCCAGACTGGACCGTGGCTCACCCGTGCCTTGACCTCCTGAACTCAGGCGATCCTACCACCTCCGCCTCCCAAAGCGCTGAGACTGCAGGTGTGAGTCACCAGGCCCGGCTTTCTCCTGTTTTTCAACGGAAGGCCAAGCACATAAAGTGAGCTTTTTAAAGGCTTATCAGGAGAGGGTGAGATGCCAGCTGTCTTACTGGAAAGCTGAGTAATGCTTCTGACGTGTCATAAAATCCCAGACGTTCATGTATATTTTTAAATTTACAAATAAGACACGTCTGCTTCGCTTCCATCTGGGTCTCTGAATCAGAAGCACCACGTTGAAGGACTGCTGGGCCCACTTGGGCAGGCATCACGAAGACCTTCACCCGGCTGGAGGACAGATCTGCCCTGGAGGAGACTTTGGCTGGGTTTTCTCCTTTTGGGGCATTCCCTCTGGTCTCTCCTCCTCTCCTTGGTAAGCATGCTGTAGAAGGCTACATGAAAGTCCAGGTGCGATGACGCATGCCTGTAATCCCAGCACTTTGGGAGGCTGAGGTGAGAGGATTGCCTGAGCCCAGGGGTTCGAGACCGGCCTGGGCAACTTGGCAAGACCTCATCTCTGCAATAAGAATCAAAAAATTAGCAGAGCGTGGTGGCACGTGCCTATAGTTCCAGCTACTTGGAAGGCTGAGGTGGAAGGATCGCCGGAGCCCAGCAGGTGGAGGCTGCGGTGGCCGGGAGTGTGCCACTGCCCTCCAGCCTGGGGGAAGTGAGGCTTCGACTCAAACACAAAAGACGAGACGACACTGGTTTCTGGGACAGGTGAGGATGGCCGTAGGAGGCTCATCATGGGCTCCCCAGCCCTTCCTTCCAGCTCCGTATGTTCCCCCATACTGCTGCGGTCCACCAAGAGCACGGGCCAGTCTGCACCTCCCCGGCAGAAGCCCTCTTCCACCACAAAGCCAGCCCCACGCCAAAGGGCCTGAGTGTTCAAGCCACCTCCCACCCCGAGCTTTCTCGCAAACCCAGCCTGTCGACCAGAGCGGGAAGGTGTGTGCCAGCCTTCTTGGGGCGGGTCCCCAGCAACAAGGAGCGGGGGACGGAAGCCCTGCAGCAGGGCTCTGGGATGCCAAGGGTCTGCCCGGGGGTTCCGTGGGATGCTCTTACGTTTCTGGCTAAGCTCCTCACATAGGCGAGTAGGTTCTGGTTGATAAAGTTGACTGTGGTGCGAAAGACATCACGGAGCAGGGCCGGCGTGTGGTCGGCCACCTTCTTGGCCAGCAGCAGGGCCAGCATCAGCATGGCTTTCTCCTTCTCCATGTCGATGGGGTGGGTCTCCATCAGCTGATCCAGGGCTGCTGTCAGGTCCCTCCTCCTGTCCTGGAGCGGGCGGTAAAGACACAGGCACACAGAACCCGGTTCACTAATCCACCTCTCTCCTGAAGGAAAAGCAGTCCCCGGTGGTAAATGTGGAGCATTTCATGGGTGGGCGCAGTGGCTCATGCCTGTCATCCCAGCATTTTGGGAGACTGAGGCGGGAGAATGGCTGGAGCCTAGGAGTTCGAGACCAGCCTGGGTGTCATAGCGAGACCTTGTCTCTACCAAAAAAAAAAAGTAGCTTGGGCGTGGTGGTGCACACCTGTACTTCCAGCTACACAGGAGGCTGAGGCAGAAGGATTGCCTGAGCCCAGGAGGTCGAGGCTGTGGTCAGCCACGATTGTGCCACTGCACTTCAGCCTGGGCAACAGAGCAAGACCCGAACTCAAAAAAACAGCATTTCAGGGGGAAGTATTTATTAAGTAGCTGAGAATGCTGGGTGGAGAGAAGAAATTTAGTTTTGCAAGGAAAAGGAAGGCTGAGATCACTCACTGGCATGAGGTACTTGGTTGCCACATACATGTTTTTTGGGTTTTTTTTTTAGTTGGAGTCTCACTCTGTCGCCCAGACTGGAGTGCAGTGGCCGCTCCCGGCCACCGCAGCCTCGACCTGCTGGGCTCCGGCGATCCTTCCGCCTCAGCCTTCTAAGGAGCTGGAACTACAGGCGTGCGCTACCACGCCCGGCTCATTTTTTTGATTTTATTGTATAGATGAGGTCTCGCCAAGTTGCCCAGGCGGGTCTCGAACCCGCAGGCTCAGGCAATCCACTCACCTTGGCCTCCCAAGGCGCGGGATTACAGGCTGAGCCACCGAGCCCAGCTCCCACATACGTGTTTATTGAACATCTTATGCTCACTATTAGACACCAATGGCATACAAGAAGCCTAAGTCCTTCCCTGCCTCTAAGACATTTAAACTCAAGATGCGTTAACCACCTGAGATGTCTGAGGCCCATCTTACTGGGGCAGATGTAGCTAAAGGAAGGGGAAAGAAGGGGGGTCTACATGTGGCACCCCCATGACATGGGAGCGCAGACCACAGCCCACTAGACTGGAAAGACCCTTCAGGCTTCTCGGAGCCTTCTGGGTGGGCTGCGTGGTCCCTTGAGCCAACTCACGGCAGGACAGAGCGTTGCCAGATGCCGTGTCCTACGATGGCACTGAGAATGTCCGGCGGGAGAGCTCACCACGGAGAAGACGGCCTTCTGGAAGGACAGAGGGTCCTGAGGCGTGGCTACATTTCGAGGGACTGGGGGGCCTGCTTCCCAGCTGGTGGACGCCCCAGGAGCAGAGTTTTTCTCTCCTCTAAACTCCCATCGCCACAGGCACATTTGGGCGGCCTGCAGGGTGGAGGCGGTGCTCGGCCCGCCGGGTGTCTTCTGGAAGGACAGAGGCCTTGGACCGGTCTCATCTCCACAGGCCAAGAGAATGGCAGACACTCAGCCAGGAGGAACAGGCCAAAATGATGCGACCGAGGTTCCCTGTTGGCATCATAATGAAGCTGGGAGACAATAAGTTACTTCTGGAAGAGTCGCACACACTTGGTTGGCCTCTTCGGGAGGCTTTTACCCTAAGATCTTGACTCTCTCAAGGCTCTGGTTTCCGAAATGTCAACTCACTTAATTCTTCCAAAAGGCAATGAACCGTGCTGGGACTGTCGCCCATGTTTTGTCAAAGCCCCGGACCTGACAGTCCCCTGGACCGAGTCACCTCCCTGGACACTGTCGACCTGACGCGAGCCAGAGGCCAGGCCTCGCGGGCTGGAGGGGCCACGCAGCCGCCCAGAAGGCGCGAGTAGCCTCACTCCCTCGCTCACCTCCTCCGACAGACGCCCGTCCCCGAGCTGCGCCGCCAGGTTGTGCACCAGCCGCGGGGGGATGCCGCGGTCCATGCTGTCCCCGATCCGGGCCAGATGCCTGGCGATGTTCTGGATGACTTCCTCTTGGCTCTCCGAGTCTGTGTTCAGGCGGGGCGGCAGAGACACGGCAGAGTCAGACGCCGGCCAGCGACACACCCTCCCCACCCCCACCGCTGCGCTCCAGGCCCGCCCTCCCACAGCACCCGCCCGGCGGCCTAGCTGAGCTTGCCTCCACTCCCCCAGAGCTGCTCCATCCTACCAGAGCTGCTCCTCTCTCCCAGAGCTGCTCCGTTCTCCCAGAGCTGATCAACCCTACCAGAGATGCTCCACTCTCCCAGAGCTGCTCCATCCTACCAGAGCTGCTCCTCTCTCCGGAGCTGCTCTATTCTACTAGAGCTGATCAACCCTACCAGAGATGCTCCACTCTCCCAGAGTTGCTCTATTCTGCTAGAGCTGATCAGCCCTACCAGAGATGCTCCACTCTCCCAGAGCTGCTCTATTCTGCTAGAGCTGATCAGCCCTACCAGAGATGTTCCACTCTCCCAGAGCTGCTCCATCCTACCAGAGCTGCTCCTCTCTCCCAGAGCTGCTCCGTTCTACCAGAACTGATCAACCCTACCAGAGATGCTCCACTCTCCCAGAGCTGTTCACCTACCAGAGCTGCTCTTTTCTCCCAGAGCTGCTCCTCTCTCCCAGAGCTCCTCCGTTCTACCAGAGCTGATCAATCCTACTGGAGATACTCCCTGGAGATACTCCTCTCTCCCAGAGCTACTCCGTTCTACCAGAACTGATCAACCTTACCGGAGATGCTCCGCTCTCCCAGAGCGGCTCCATTCTATCAAAGATGCTCCTCTCTCCCAGAGCTGATCAACCCTACCAGAGATACTTCCCTCTCCCAGCTGCTCTCTACCAGAGATACTCCACACTCCCAGAGCTGCTCCATTCTACCAGAGCTGCTCCCCTCCACAAGAACCACCGTGTGGGGACACAGGGTCCAGTGCAGGGTGCTGTCACTAGGGGAATGGCCCGAGAGAGTGCAGATGGCTTGAGGGTCAGAACTCTCCTCGAACGGATTCAAGGTCTGCCCATGAGGAGGGCCAGTGACGTGGGACATTCACGAGCACGGCCCCGAGCGCAAGCCCGGCCGCTCCCTTTATGGTGTGCACCCCAGCACCCCGCAGGAGTCAGTCTTAGAAGTTTCTAGAAGAGGGGCCCCGCAGTCAGCTGTCCTGGAGTCCCACCTTGGCCCGTCCCAGTCCTGAGCCCCGAAAGCGTCCTGGTCTACCTTCCTCCTAGGGCGGTTCCTTCCCTCAGTGAAGCCCCACCTTGGCCACTAGCACCGGCAAGCCAGGCCCTGTGTCACCCACCCGCCTCTCTCCCTGCAGCTCTCCTTCTGATCCCCGTCCACCTCCTCCAGCTGCAGGGGCCAACTGTGCCACTCCTCCGGCCAGGGCGCCACCTGGCCACACCTCCTTCAGGGCCACTCACTCCCCCGATCGCTCCACCTCCCTCCGTTTCCTCCCTGACCTGTCCAATACACGTCACCTATTTCTGCTATTTGTCTGACACTGCCGCCAGAGTTTACGCTTCCCAAGGGCTGTGGTTTTCGAATCTGTTTCGTTCACAAATAGCACTTAAAACACTGCTTCAGCCGGGCTCGGTGGCTCAGCCTGTAATCCCGCACCTTTGGGAGGCTGAAGTGAGTGGATGGCCTGAGCCCGCGGGTTCGAGACCCGCCTGGGCAACTTGGTGAGGCCTCATCTCTACAATAAATCAAAAATCAGCCAGGTGTGGTAGCGCACGCCTGTAATTCCGCTACTCGGAAGGCTGAGGCGGAAGGATCGCCGGAGCCCAGCGGGTCGAGGCTGCGGTGGGTGGGAGCGGCCCCTGCACTCCAGTCTAGGCGATGGAGTGAAACTCCAACTCAAAAACAAAAACAAAAAAACACTGCTTGCACCTATAAGGTGCTCAATAAACAAGTGCATGATGGCTTAAGGGATAGACACTGAGCCTGACTCCTAGTAAGCATTCAATAAATGCCAGCTATTGCTATTCCTCCCGTCAAATATTTTATTTTCTCTGTGCTTGCAACCCCTCTGGCTTGTTACTTATGCCTTAGTCTTGGCTGTGGTTCCTGCTCCGTCCTTCCGTCAACCGCCTGATCTTTTTTTTTCCTTCTTCTTCTTTTTCTTTTTCCGAGTTGGAGTCTCACTCCGTCGCCCAGACTGGAGTGCAGTGGCCGCTCCCGGCCACCG